TAGGTATTTCTCCCTCTCACTCCTCCTTTACTAAAACTCCTCCTAAGATCATCAGTGAGGTTCTAATTACCAGATCTCCCAGCCAACTTTTCTCCCAATCACCTCTGCTGTACTGCTTCCCACTGACACGGAACAGCACCTCCCTTTGCTCCCTCTCTTACTGGCTCCACTTCTTCCTCTACTCTCCTAAATTTAGATATGCTCAGATGTCCTATGTCTTTAGATTCTCTCATAAACATCCATTTCCATGACTTCAATGATCACTAAATAAATTTCAACACCTAAAACCTAAAACATACCAAACATGATCTGAGAACCATCATTTTTTTTTCTCCCTCAATCACCACTCCTGCTCTTCTCTCTGTAACTTACAAATATGTCTGGCATACATTTCCATGACTAGAGATTTCTTCCTGTGCCCACATCTTGTCCAGTCGCCAGTTCCATTGAATTGTAGCTTCACATTTGCTCTAGAGTCAAATGTCTTCCACTCTTCCGGCCCTATACCAGTCCCTCCTGCCCTCTCATAATGGCTATTACAATCATTTTCCTACATTTTCCCCATCCCATGCTTCCTATTCTGCCAGATTGTTTTCTTAAACACATTTTATATCACCTCACTCACAGTTATCCCCAGTTATCTATCAAACTAAATCCAGATTTCTTTAAATAGGCATTATTTTGCCTTTCCACTATTATCCAACATTATTTACCTACATGTTTGCAGTCCTCAGATAAAATATATCATTCACTTCCCCCATCGCATGCCTGAAATTCCTAAGCCTCTTGGCTTCTGTTGATGCTGTTTTCCTGAAAAGAATGCCATGATTTTGAGTCCTTTCCTGTGGAAACTCTATCTTTACTCACAACCTGTTTTAAATGTACCTTCTTTGTGTACCTTTTTACTGTTTGGGATGCAACCTACATGTTCTTCTATCCAGTGGATCTTATTTTTAATCTGCTCTGTATCATAACCATTTTGTGAAAGTACCAGCTTCTCACCACCAATGTCTTTTCCCTGTTGTAGACTGTGTCTTTTTTTTTTTTCCTATTTATTTGGACTTTTATTTTTATTTTATTTTATTTTTTTTATTGTTGGTCGTTCAAAACATTACACAGTTCTTAATACATCATCTTTCACAGTTTGATTCAAGTGGGTTATGAACTCCCAACTTTACCCCGTATACAGATTGCTAGACTGTGTCTTAAATACTATTTTTCCATGTATTTTTTCTAAGGTCTGCAGATTCAGAGATGCATGAAAAATTGCCCTAATTACCCTGAGAAAATAAAAACCTGCTGGCACAGAGGAAAACTGCATTTATGTTTCTCATGCTCATTGTCTTATGTAGGTTTCTTATTCACTCAGAAGGTGAGTGAGTTCCTGTTGCCACTGTGTAAGTGATGGGAACACTGAGGAAGTGGGGCCATCTTTACCACTATGGCAAGGGGGAGAATATTCTCAAGTTCCCCGTGTAGGAATTTGGAGTGAAAATTCTTGCTCCAGGAGGGAGATCACAAACAAGCCATGAAGTCAGACCCCCAGAGTATCCAGTGACATGGCTGCTTGACAAGAACAGAAGTGTGTGCTATGGTAGCTGTGGGAGGCATCACCATGGATGGAGTGGGGGCAGGGAAGAACAGGTCTGAGGCAGGATGGAGGAACGAGGCGGCTGCTCCACTCTGTCAGGTGTTTCAACCTGACCTCATCCAGCATTCTGGGATACAATGTCCAGTACGATGTCTTTGCCAAATGTCACCGTGTTCTTTTGCAAGTATAAAATGCAATAACTCTTAAAAATGATGCTATCGTTTCGGAAGGTCTGTGATAGAGGCCTTTCCCTTTTATCTGTAGGTTTCAGAGTTATTGTTTTGGGCCCTTCTTGGCCTCAAAGCAACTGAGGAAGTCCGGGTCCATGAGAATGGTGAGTTTTCATTTCTCTTGAAATAAAAAAATGGAAAACCAAGAATGGTGATTCTGTCACATACAAGTGGAGTGACCAAGTTATTCGGCTTTTCTTGAATTTAGTTCCCTGGGGGGGAAAAATAAAGATGGCAATAATGTCAATTCTTTATTTATGAGAAAGTGGGGACAAAATCATGTGTATTAAATGTATGCTATGGGACAAATAGAGACATGTTTAATTCATTTAATTCTGATAAATAACCATGAAGTAGAGAGTATTATTATTCTCATTTCATGTCAGAAGAAACTGAGGCTCAGAGGAATGAAATAATTTGCCCAAGGTCAGAGAGATTGCAAGCAGAGTCACCCCCAAAACACCTTCTTTTCCAGTATTCCATTCAGCCACTTCAAATCACAACCTTCCTTGAAAACAACAGCTTCATTCAGTGAAATGTACCCCAAATTAGGAACCACAAGAATGCCAACTACATCTGCAAGGGGATTCTCAGAGCACCCATTAACCTCCTGTCTTCCCTTTCTTCTCTTTAGGAAATTCCACTCCTTTTTTTTCCCCCAAGTTGTCTTCAAATATTACCTCTTTCAAAACTTTCCCAGCAGTCCTCTCCTCCCAGCTTCAAGTCTATGATCCCACCTTTCCCGTCACCTATGTATAATTGTCCTTACCCCACCATTTCAGTAGTTAGGAAAAACAAAGCCAGCGATTAGCACAGTACTTGGCATAGAGTGGGAACTCAGTAAAGTTTTCTGAATGAACAAGTGAAATGTAACAGTACACAGATCATGTAATATCTCAGCTATCAGTTTTGCCATCTTCAAAATAGAAGACTAGTCCCTAGTTTTCCACAGGTATGTTATAAAAATTCAGTGAAATGATCTGT